TCTTTGGTCCAACTGGAAATCAAAGAATGGAAATATGTTGTGATGAATCCCCCACTGAGATGCTTTTGACTGACTATCCTGGTGTGGCCAAATTTTGGAAAAGCTCGCGAGAAAAGTTTTCGACAGAGATGTCATGCCCAGCTTTAAACAAATGCTTATTACTGAACTCAACCTTTGGCATCGATATGATAGTGAACCCTCCGTGCAATCCTAGCCTTGCTTTTCTTTGGGCACTTGTTACTCTGACCGCGTTCTCTGGACTTTGTTCTGTGCTTACTCTTTGGCGATCTTGTCGTGAAAACTTTCGAAGGATTGTGACCATTAGAAGGATTGGATGCCAATGCTCGAGGTGGACGAAAAGGAAGACTGCTTACACAAGGGCGCGCACCAGAGAAAAAAGTCGAAATAAAAGAGAAAGCTCCACACGTGAACGCTTCACACCCTGTTGCCATAGAGGACGAACCGGAATGCACTGCGTCTTCAAGCAACCTGCCAGACTCACTTTATGGCGCGCGAGACAATCTAATGCTATGATGATCCGAGATGACAAAGAAATAATTGAAGAAAAGAAAAACCATTGGGGGCCCGGGAATGTCGCGAAAGGCGACAATCAGAATTTAATTTTTTAAGTTTATTTTTTCCAAAATTTATTTTTCTTTAAATTCCAATCTTTGTTTTTTTTCTAAATCTAAATTATTTTTAACCGCACCTGCTGTCTAGGAAATTCTTTTCTGTTTAAGAAATTTTTTCTATTTTTAACTTTTTAAATTAGCTTTCTTTTGTTTCTTTAAGCGCATCTATTTTTAAATTAACCTTTTTTGTACCAGCCGCCATTCATTCATTTCTATTTTTCACCCACTTTTGGAATGTGTTTACTTTTAACTTTGTTCACCCGCCTATTTTCCTGGCCTATATAATCTTCCCTCCAAAACCCACATTAGCTTTCTAATCAGCTCTACTCTGTTCTGTTTGGTTCCATTTCCTTGGTTCACTGGCTGGCTCTTATTTATTGGCTTTATTATTGTTGGCTCGCTTTTTATTGGATTTAATTTGATTAATTGGAAAATAAATATTATTTAATTGTTTGGAAATTATTTGTTTGAACTAGGCTCTTAGGCTGAAATTTGGAAACTTGGTCCCTAGGCTTCTACTACATGCGGCGCCAGAAAAGGAAGAATCTGGCTCTTGTCCTCACAAATTCTCAAAATTTTCGTCTGCGGCGCTGTAAAAGGAAGTTGAATGGTATATCGGAAGATTTGGACGGATTAAGGTGGATTTTGAGTTATCTCGTGTGTTTCAAGAGGTCATAGGTAATATCGATGGATTTGGGTGTAATATCTAGGGAATGAGTGGTGTAATGTAGATATCAGGGATCAGGGGATTTCGCCTTCCAAAACTTGGCATTTCTCACTTGGCCTTCCGAAATTCACAAATTCATATTTTTTACTCATATTTTAAAAATATAAAATTCATATAGTTAATTATAAATGTTTTTAATTTTTTGTAGTAAAATTTAAAAATACATATAAAATAGGTACATAATAAAAAAGACTAAAAAATTTTTTTCTAAAATTTTCGGACAAAACAAAATTTAAAAATAGCTAGATTCTTCATTTAGCGATTTAATAATGTCCTCTTTGTCGTTGTCTCCACATTTCTTCCTGTTGTTGATGTCTCATACTGCCAGCCAAAGCCTGATAAAAACATTATTTTATTAAATCAAAAATTAAATTAATAAAAAGATTTTTTAATCCACCAACCGCCGACATCGCACTAACCGCTCCAGCCGCTGCGATGGAAGGTACAACACTTACAACACCTTCTTTTATTTCTAATTATTTGTTGTTGTCTACGCATTTCTTCTTCTTGTTGTTGTTGATGGTGTCTCAGACTGTTAGTCAAAATAGCCTGGGATTAAAAAATTATTTTAGGTGTTAAATTAAGAATTAAATTTAGAAAAGGAAAGTTTCACCAACCGCGGACATTGCCGCTGTCATTGAAGGTACAACACTTCTCTTATTTCTAATTATTTGATGATTTCTGTGTTTATGGTGTCTTTTATTCCTTTTTTCCTTATTTTGTTCGACTTCCCTCATTTTTTCTTCTTTTTTAGGCTCTTCAGCTTTTTTATCAGCCTTCTTATCCTCCAATTCATCTACTTTAGCCAATACTTGTATAGCTCCTTTATTCCTGTCTTCCTCATTTTTGGATTTTTTTCGTTTAGCTGATTCAGAAATTACACAGAATAAAAATAGAAAATAAAAGAAAATTAAAATATTAAAGGTTTTCATTAAATCGTTGCTTAACACTAGAGTAAATTTAAAATAGGTATGTGGATGTAAAATTACAAACTCGAACAAATAAGCGTAAAATTACAAATTGTAAAACCTAAAACTTGAAATAGGAATAAAAATTACAAATTGTAAAAATAAAACCTAAAACTTGAAAAAGAAATTACAAATTGTAAAACCTAAAACTTGAAATAGGAATAAAAATTACAAATTGTAAAAATAAAACCTAAAACTTGAAAAAGAAATTACAAATTGTAAAACCTAAAACTTGAAATAGGAATAAAAATTACAAATTGTAAAAATAAAACCTAAAACTTGAAAAAGAAATTACAAATTGTAAAACCTAAAACTTGAAATAGGAATAAAAATTACAAATTGTAAAAATAAAACTTAAGACTTGAAAAAGAAATTACAAATTGTAAAAAGTTAATAAAACTTAGGCAAATGTTACTTACAAATTGTAAAAATAAAACTTAAAACTAGAAAAAGTTTTACAATTTGTAAAATTCGAACTTAAAACTTGAAAAACTTAAGCGAAGGTCATTTACAAATTGTAAAACAAACAAATGTAAAAAAGACTACAAATTGTAAAAATAAAACTTAAAACTTGAAAAAGAAATTACAAATTGTAAAACTTAAATATAAATTAGCTTCTTATAAATAAATATAAATTATCATGTGTGTTAAGCAATGACAAATGTTTAGGTAATTTTCTAAAAATTGAAAACTGATAAGAAAAAATTTATTTTGGAGATTATTTTATTTTTAAGATAGAGAGTTTGTTAATATATATTTTCTGTTATTTTTAAAAATAATGTTGAAAGCCAATATTTTAATAAATAATTTAATAAAAGTGTGCTTGTTAAAAAAAAGAAAATGAGAAGCTAAATAAATGAGTGAGAGGAAAAAAATAAAATTAAGTAAACGAAAAATAGTTCTCACGCACATTAGGGAAACTAGAAAGCTTTTTCTTGTTAAGAGAATTTTTTATTTTTGATATTTTGGAGAGACAAAAAGCTGTCACTAAATGAAAATAAAAAGTGGAAAAGTGTTCTTCGTTATGAGCTGCCAAGGGAACTGGAACGGCATATATATCCAATTAGTCTTCCTAGCTGGCATAAAAATGAGGGAAAGGAGGAAGTAAAAAAAGAACTAGCTAAAAAGAAAAATCAATGTTTCGAAATTTTTGTTTTGAAATATTTTCCGAAAAAATATTTTTTGGAAGGAGGAAGTATTTTAGAAAGAAAAATTTATATTTTTTGTAAAAATATAAATTTAAAGAAATATTAAAAAAATTTTTGTGAGGAAGAAAAATAAATTTCAAGGAGAAAAATAAAAATTATTGTTAAATTTATTCAAATAAAAAATACAAATATGCATTATTTAAAATTTATTTTTTTTTTATTTTAGTATTTATAACACCGGGGTATATAATTAATTAAAAAAATTAATTAATTAAAAATTATTCTCTCCATAATTTCAACTTCTACTTCTCATTTTGCCAATACAAAATTATTATTATTAGAATTATTCCCATTAATTCCAACAACCACATTATTTTCATTATTTGAACAATAATCCACTTTATTTCCAAATTTTGAATAGAAGGTAACATTACATTTCTGTTTACGTCCAGTCCTTTGATCAAAAGCTTGGCAATGAGTAAATGGGGGGATATACAAATGGAGGGTAATTGCTGGGTCTGAATGTGAAGGGTTCTCCATTCTGTGCAGTCCAATTTTGTCTTAAAAATTAAAATTCTGATTTTATTTTAAATCAGAATTTGTAATTGTAATTTTATTCTGATATTTATTTTCAAGTTTTATTACAAATTGTAAATAGAAATAAAATCAGAAATAAAACTTGAATTTATCTAAGTTTTACTTGAAAAATCAGAATTACAAATTGTAATAAAAATAAAACTTTGAATAAATTCAAGTTTTATTTCTTCTATTAAAATTTGTAATTCTGATTTTAATTCTGATTTTATTTTTCAGGTTTTATTTCTGATTTTATTACAATTTGTAATTCTGATTTTAATTCTGATTTTTATTCTTCAAGTTTTATTTCTGATTTTTATTCTTTTTTTTACAATTTGTAATTCTGATTTTATTCCTCAAGTTTTATTTCTGCTTTTATTCACCCTTTACAATTTGTAATTCTGATTTTAATTCTGATTTTTATTCTTCAAGTTTTATTTCTGATTTTTATTCTTTTTTTTACAATTTGTAATTCTGATTTTATTCCTCAAGTTTTATTTCTGCTTTTATTCACCCTTTACAATTTGTAATTCTGATTTTAATTCTGATTTTATTCCTCAAGTTTTATTTCTGATTTTTATTCTTTTTTTACAATTTGTAATTCTGATTTATATAATTACTAAATTCCGATATATTTTTAGTGTACAATTCTTTTTATTTTGTAATTCTGATTTTCCAATTACAATCTTTACTCTTCAATTTAATTCTGATTTTTTAAAATTCTAACCGCTTATATAAGAAACTCCATTCAATTTGTAAAGTTGATTTCCACTTTCAATTAAAGGGCGGCCACTTCCTTCACAATTCTGATTTTCTTCATTTTTATTATCTTCTATAGGCCATTCAAAACGTGTTTCTAATAAATTTCCTTGTAAAACTTTAACAAAACAATGCGCGTCTGTGTGGTCGTGAATGCTTTTTGGGATAAATTTAACAAATTATTTTTTATTCACCTCGATCCCATACCCGGGCCCCAACACAAAACCATTAAATTGTATTTTCCATTGCCTGCATCTACCAGATTGCGTGTATATCTTTAAATTAAATTTTCAAAATAAATTTTTTTAATTGAAAAAAATTTTTAAATTAAAAAAAATTTTTTTTAATTCAAAAAAATTTCAATTTTTTCTGAAAAATACAAACTTGTGAGGATCAAAAAGTGCAAATTCATTCCAATCCTTAGGGTTGCTTTTATATTCCTCCAAAACTCGTCTCACTTCTTCAGTGTTAACCAAATCCTCATTAAATATATTGCGAATATCGTCAATAAGTTTATTCATTTTTAAAAAATTTTTTCAAAATTAATTTTATTTTTTATATTTTTAACTATAAATATTTTATTAAATTAATGGAATTTTAATAATCATGCCTTTTTGCTCATTCTTTATTCTATCCCTTATCAATCACGAGGGAATGACTTTTTTTTAACAATTTTATAAAATTAAAAAAATTATTTTAATAATCATTCTCCTTTTTTGTAATTAAATATTGGGTAATAGAAAAGTTTGAAAGAATGATTAAATCAGAATTACAAATTGTAAAAACTTCAATCAGAATTATAACAAGTTTATTTGTAAACTAGAAAATCAGAATTACAAATTGTAAAATCTTTAATAATCAGAATTATTAAAATTTACAAAACCAGAATTATTTAATGTAAAGAAAATCAGAATTTTAAGAAATCAGAATTAATTATTTTATAATTGTATTTATGTCAGAAACAAATTCTGATTTTAAATAGAAAAATTATTTAAGTGTGGTATTTATATTTTATTCATGCATAAGTCTAAGGAAAAAATTTAAATGATTCATCAATTAATACTATATTTAAATAATTTACCACCACCCTAAAATAATATTTAATTAGTAAATAAAAGTAATAAATTAACAAAAAAATGTAGACGGCCAGAGTCTTCGCAGTTAATCACGCGCAATCACCATCAAACTTCTCGTTGATTATGTCAATAAAACGTGAGGAAATTTTTTTAGCATTTCAAGAAATTTACTAAACAAAAACCTTTATAATATTTATTTTAAAAAATAGAAGGGAGAAAATAATTAATTAATTAACATATTTATTCTAATAGACGCTCAATATTAAGCTTTTACTCATCAATTAAGGGGGCGTTAATTAGAATAAATTAAAAAATTTTTAATAAAAATAAAATAATAAAATAGCTTAATTTATACAATAAACAAAAAATATTATTCAAAAAATTATTTTTTTTCTTCATTCTCCACCCAATAAATTAATTAATTAGTTGTTGTTGGAAAATTTAATTTTTTATTATTTTTCGAATTCCAACGGCCAACCAAACTTTTTCTTGTTTGTGTAGAAGATATTTTAGGTATTGGGAAATATTGTTCTGTACACAATTTTTTTGCGTCTAATATTTCTGTTTCAGTAAGGGTGTAGAGAAGAGCTTTGCTGTTGCTTTGGTCACGCCTCTTTCTGAGAGATTCTGAAATTTTTAATAAAAATAATTCTGATGTTCTGATTTTTTCTGATTTTTTATTTACAATTCTGATTTTAACTGTACAAAATAATTGTTATTCTGGTATTTTTAAATTGTAATTCTGACATTAATTCTGATTTTTAATACCTAATTACAATTCCTTGTAAAATTCTGATTGTAATTATTTATTTACAATTTGTAATTCTGGTTTTTTTGCTATTCTGGACTTTTCAAGTGCAATTCTGATTTTTTAATTTCGATAATAATTCTGATTTATATATTTATTAACTAATATTGTAAAATTCTGATTGTAATTGTTTATTTACAATTTGTAATTCTGATTTTTATTTACTGATTTTAATATTGTTATTCTAGTTTTATGTGTAATTCTGAAATTCTGATTTATGTAATAACTAATATTGTAAAATTCTGATTATAATTATTTATTTACAATTTGTAATTCTGATTTTTGTTTTTTTAATAAAGACAATAACACACCTTCTTTAATTAAAATTAACCCTTTTTGTCCATCATTTTTAATTATTGCTAATTCTTTTCCTGGAGACACTCCAGCATTTTCTGCTAGGGAAAATTCGCAAAATAGTTTTTGTTCAAATCGGGAACGACGAAAAATATTGCAACTAAAAATCTTTCCAAAAGGGTGAATTAAAGCTTGTGCCATGCAGAGACTGTCGAGAGCTTAAATTAAATTAATTAAAAATTAAAAAAATATTTTTTAACCTTTTCCAATAATTTTAAATTGTTCAACAGAAGGCTTAGATGTTTTATTAAAATGATGAGGTCTGCTTAAAACGACATAAATACCAGCCAGAACAACTACAAGTAGTGCAAGACAGCATATTGAACCTCGAAGGATATCTCCTTTTCGACTTCCTAAAATTTTAAGAAAATCAGAATTTTAAGAAAAATCAGAATTTAAGAAAATCAGAATTTTAAGAAAAATCAGAATATTAAGAAAATCAGAATTTTAAGAAAAATCAGAATTTAAGAAAATCAGAATTTTTAGAAAAATCAGAATTTTAAGAAAATCAGAATATTCAGAAAAATCAGAATTTTAAGAAAATCAGAATATTCAGAAAAATCAGAATTTTCAGAAAAATCAGAATTTCCAGAAAAATCAGAATTTAAGAAAATCAGAATTCTCAGAAAAATCAGAATTTTAAGAAAAATTAGAATTTTATTATTTTTCTTTTTAATTAAATTGAAGCATAAATTATACGAACAATAATAATAAATCTTTTAAAAAAAACTAACTATAAATTTTAAATAAAAATATCCTTAACAGTTGGATTAAAAAGAAAGAATTAATTTAATTGAAATCTTCTTTTTAAATTTTTTTAGAAAAAAGTCACGTTGTTTTTATTATTCAGAAAACCCTAAATATCAACTTGTTTGTTAGAGGGAAACAACTTCTTGTAAATGTTTACAAATAGTTTTAATTTATTTGCGTCATTAAATTATTATTGTCAAACATACTATTCTTAGCTGCATGTAGTATTTGTTTTTTTAATTCTGACTTTAAATTCTGATTTATAATTCTGATTTTAAAAACGGTATGCAATAAATTCTGATATTTAATGCGCTATTGATTCTGATTTATAGGTTCGTAATTCTGATTTATAATTCTAATTCTGATTATTTAATTAAAATTACAATTTGTAATTCCGGTTTGTAATTGATTCTAATTTTTTTTTCTGATTTTAATTCTGATTTGTAATTCTGAACTTTAAATTCTGATATTTAATGCGCTAATTATTCTGATTTATACTTATAGGTATTATAATTCTGGTTTGTAATTTTAATTCTGATTTTTATTTCTGAGTTGTAATTCTGTTTATAATTCTGATTCTAATTTTTTAATTAAAATTCTGATTTTAATTCTGATTTATTAATTAAATATTTAATTACTATTTTTCCTTCTCCTTTCCTCCGCCTCTTCATCAACAATATTTGCCAACCTCTGAGTTAATTTATCGCTAATTTTAGGTGTTGTAGTTGGTTGTTGTAATGCCATTCTTTCTACATGTTCCCTCATTTTCCCCAAATCCCTTTTTAATTTTCCAATTTCGGCTTCTTGTTCTCTTATTAATTCTGACTGGACTTGTACTCTTTGGGATATTTCCATCCCTCCACAATTCTCTCCAATTAAACTTGTATTTGTTGACCCCCCAAAAGGAGAGCGACATTCTACTACTGCTTGCTCGTAACTTGGAGGTGGTAGAGGGGCATCTACAAAATGGACATGCATTTTTTGATGAAAAATTTTTTTAGTGAAATAATTAATTGAGAATATTATTTAATTGATAAACTGAAATTTAAAATTTTTTAAAAATAAAAATAATAATTTTGGAAATTAATTAAGAAATTAAATATTAGACAGAAAAATTGGAACATAGAAAATCAGAAGTAAAATTATATGTAAGGATGATTAACCTAGCTTAGGTTGGGGTTAAGCGATCAAAAAAGGAAAGGAGAAATCATTATTAGTCGATGCCCCGGTAGCTCTTATCCCCCTCAGAGCTCCCATAAGCGGTGAGCGAAAGCGCCTAGCAATAACACTGCAAGGAGGTCGCAGATTCGAACCTTGCTCGGTGGCTAAACTTTTGCTAAACTCTTTCTATTACAATTGAAATTCCAAACAGAATTACAACATTTTATAAATTAGGTTTAAATTAACAATAAAATAAAAATTAAATTGTTTGAATGTCTAAAAGCAATAAAATTAAAACAATAAAACTAAAAAGACAGATTCTTTGATCAGCCGACACTTGAAGAAAGTAATAATAAAATTTTTAGTAGGGCAATTTGGTCATTCAGAAAAATCTTGAGAAAAAAATTAAAATTTATTTATTTTTAAAAATAGCCACAAAGTGTAATTAAAGATCCAAAAATAGCTCTTCCTGGAAATGATTTTTTAAAGTTTCCGGTCTAAAATTCAGAACTTTTCCCCCTCCTTTCATGTCAGTTGTTTGTTCTATTAAATTTATAATTATTTGATTGTTCCTCTATAAAGTTTAGCTTGCAAAAAATAATTTTTTTGCAAAACTTTTGCAAAAAAAAATAAAATAAAAAATGACAGCAACGGCGACAATGAACACTAAAAATGAGGAGAAAAATAAAGAAATGAAATCCTTCTAACTGATCCTCTCCTCTCAATTTTCTTTTTTCCTCCAGTTTTATTTTTGGCCAATTTTGGTGGCCAATCAACTCCTCCCTTTTTATTTTTTTTATTTTACTCAAGAAATCAATTGGGAAGAGATAAACACCTAAAATATCAACAAGTGAATGATCAAAACTTGGAATTGGAAAACTTCAAAATGAGAGCTTAAAAGTACAAACCAAGTTTAATTATTAAAAAAAGTTTTTAATAATTGTAATTACCAAGTTTCTATTTTACAAATTGTAATTATTTATAAAAAAAAGTTTTACAATTTGTAATTAATAAAGAATGCAACTTAGAAAATACAATTACAAATCCAAGTTGAATTATTAAAAAGTTTTACAATTTTACAATTGTAATTGTTAAGTTTTATTATCTTCTTATTGAGTACTTTGTAATTACAAACAAGTAAAAAGTTGTAATAAATTGTAATAAAAATTGTAATAACCATACAAGTTTGTAATTTCGCCTTTAAGTGCAAACTTAAACGTATAGTTGATCACTTGGGTGTCGCATCTATTTATCTGTTAAATCCTTTAATATCCCTCATAAAAAAGTAAATAAAAATATAAAATGATTGGGGGCTCTAGTTAAAGAGAAGTTAGTTTCTCTCAATCTCATTTATAAAGTCGTCATCACCACCCTCTCTTTGACAAATGGTTAAATATCCAAAAACAATCCCCCCTCTCAAATCCAAGCTTTTCCTTCCCAAACCTTCCCAATGTTCTCCCTAAAAATAAATATATTTATTTATTTATCCTCCCTCACACAACAATAATAAAAGCGCCTAATGACGTCAATTCTCTTTTTTAATAGTTTTAAACTGCAAAAGTTTTATTGCAAAAAGGAAAAATTTTTACAAAAAAAATTTTTTTAACAAGCTAAACTACTAAACAATCAAAATGACTGACAGATATTGGAGTGAGGGAGAAGAAGAAAATTTTGGAAATATATTTAAAAATAATAATTTTTAATAAATTGAAATTTAAAAATAATTTAAAAAAAAATAATTATATTATAGGGAAATATGTAGAATCTTTAATTTTTATTTTTTTAAATCAAGTTTGTGCTGGCGGTTTTTACCGGTAGGATAAGATTGGTGAATAGAATTATTATTTTTTAATTATTAATTGAATTTACTAAGGTTCCCCGTTCATGCCTGAAGAGGATTTCCAGGACAAGGTTGGTGAAAACTTTTTCGTAAAACTGTCAGGGATTGGAGGAGGGGTGGGGACAAGAATATATGTTCGTGGATCGAGGTCAGGAAATGACCGCCTGAAAATCATCTTCGGGATTGAACGGGGAACCTTAGTAAATTCAATTACTAATTAAATTAAAAATAATAATTCCTCTATTCCTTTTATTAAATTTAATTCCTCGTAATTTAATATCTAAACTTCCTCTCTTTTAAATTTCAAATCCTTGTACATATATCCATTTATTGATGTACTCATACCAAAAAATATTTTTATTCATTTAATAAATGGATAATAAAATTAATATTAATAGAGAATTTAATGCTGCTATTCGAATACAGGCAAGTACTTACAATTTTTTTAAAATTATAATTGTAATTAAAGTTTTACAATTCCAAGTTTTAAATTTAAAGTTTACAATTCTATGTTTTCAAGTTTTAAGTTTATTTAATTATACATATAAATAAGTTTTACAATTCTAAGTTTTGCAAAATTACAAAGAATAAGTTTTACAATTAAGTTTTTAATCTAAGTTTCAATTTTAGGTTTTACAATTCCAAGTTTATTTAATTATAATTTAAAGTTTAATTTTACAATTAAGTTTTAATTAAGGTTTTACAGTTAAGTTTTAAGTTTTTACAATTAAGTTTCACAATTCTATGTTTTTAAGTTCTAAGTTTCTTTAATTTTATAAATAAGTTTTACAATTCTAAGTTCTACAAAGAATAAGTTTTACAGTTCCCCAAGTTTTAAAGTTTTAAGTTTTACAATTCTATGTTTTTAAGTTCTAAGTTTCTTTAATTTTATAAATAAGTTTTACAATTCTAAGTTTTACAAAGAATAAGTTTTACAGTTCCCCAAGTTTTAAAGTTTTAAGTTTACAATTTTATGTTTACAACTTCCAAGTTTATTTAAATTTACAATTCCAAGTTTCACAATTCCAAGTTTATTATTCCAATTTTTAACCCTTCATTTTTCTCAATTTCAGAATTTTATGCGAAAAGCAGTCGAATTAAGACGAGCACAAAAACAACGAGATAAGGCTGCAAGAAAAATTCAAGTTTAATTTACTTTTACAAATTCAAGTTTTAAATTAATTTAAAGGCTATAGTTAGAGGCTTTTTGGCCAGGCAACATTTAAAGAAATGTTTACATGCTGCTGTAGTTATACAGGCACATTTTAGAGGATTTTTAGTCAGAAAACAATTTGTTGAGGCAAAATGAATATTGGATAAATTAACTGAATAAATGAGGGAAAAATATTTTTATTTTTTAAAATAAAATTTAAAATAAAGATTTAAGAGGGAGAATATTTAAAATTAGCTAAAATTTTGTCTAAAAAATTAAAAAAAAAAATAAAAAAATTTTTAGGAAAGGTCCAATACTAGTGTAAAATAAATTGTAATTTTGTTTTTGACTTTGTATAATTTTTGACTGGATATTTAATTTTATTTTTTATTTTTATTTTTTATTTATCCTTCGCCTTGCTTTGATTTTAATCCAAAATCCTTCCAATTCCATTGACTCTCCCCTTGCAAATTCCTCAGACCCCCCCCCTCCCCCTCCCCGGCAATTGATCCTTCCCCTTGCAGAGGAGATCCTTCTCTCCTTCTCCTTCCTCTTACAGTTAACTCTCCCTTTGAATTTTCTCCCAGACCCTCCACTTTAAATTTCAGGCAATTCAATTTTTTTACTAAAAATTTAAAATTATTTTTTCTTGCCAGCTTTAAAATTTAAAAAAAAATAATTTTCCTTCTCCATATCTGACTTTCCTTTTTTTAAACATAAAATATATTTTTTTTTCTGTGTGAATTTTAATAATAAATTTAAATTTATTCCAACTTGTTTTTAAAAATATTTTTTGGACATATATTTTTTACCTTATATTTTTTCACAATTCCCCATCTTTCTTTGTTTGTTTATTCTCTTTTTTCTGAAAAAATAAAATAAAAAGCATCCTGTCAGGTGGGGGAATTTTTTTTAGAAAAGGATGCTTTTTGCCATGGCCAAAAATTGGAAGAAGCTCTAAAGCTAGCTAGTATTATGCCATGGGAAATTTTGTTAGTCTTTATATCGATCTAGCCTTTCTAAATTAAGTGAGGTCAACTGTGAAATTGAAATTTTATTGTCTTTAGTCTCGAAATTAAATTTAATATATTGGCATTCTCATTATAGTCTCAACTCTCTTTATAGTGGACAGAATGATTAGGAGTTAATAATAGAGAGAGTTTCATATATTTTAGGAGTTCTTTTAGTGGAAATTCTAATTGAGACTATCTTAGAGATTTTTAGAAGTTTCGATTCTGGTCTTGATTCTGGATAACCCTGATTTATGTCGGCACCTAGTATAGGTCTGGTCTCTAATGGAGAGTTTACCTTAAGGGAGAAGAAAGGGAGAATTCCTATAGGGGAGGGGTTACAGTAGGAGGGTGTTCATTTCAAAGAGGATTTCCCCTTAAGGAGAGGTTATTTTAGTGGGAGTATTTCAGAGGGAGTTACTGGAAGGGAGTCCACTATAAGTGGCAATTCACTGTACGGGATGGGAGTTGCCTAATAAATAAAATTAATTAAATCACTCCGTTTATTCCCCCCAACGGATATAAAATCCAAAATCTTTATAGCAACTTTTCCCTTAACTTTCCCGTATTTTACTTTCTTTTTCCAAATTTCTTTTTAAAGAAATCTATTTTTAGCCCTCCAAAATCTCTCACACCAAACGTCAAAAGACGCAAGAAAAAAAAAATTTCCCCCAATTTTGTAAATTATATTCTTTGCTCTAAAAATTTTTTTTCTCGTGTTTTAAAATATTCAAAAGACTAACTACTTTAAATTATTTTTGTATTTGTTTGGGAAAACATAAAAAAAGACTTGAAAAAAATTTTTTAAAAAAGCCGGAAGAGGAAAGAAGGTAAAAAGAGTTTAGCTAACACAATCTCAATTTCAAAAAAATTTTAAACATAAAGTCGATTTAAAGTGTCTTTTTTTCTTATCTTGTGATACACCTTTAAGTGTGTTCCCTTCACTTTACCTCGAATTAAAAAAAATTTTTTTTTTAATTTTAAAATTAAAATTCAAGTCTCAAAAGAGTAGGTGGTTGTTAACTTAATTACGTAAGTATGTCAATTCTAAAAATAATTTTCAAAAATTTTTTTCTGAATTTTCAAGTTAAAATTCAAGATTATAAAATGGTTTCTATAAAATCTTCAACTTGGGCTATTTTATTAATTCAATTAGTTATTTCTTGCATAGCAATAATATCTTCTGTTGCTTTGTTTGTGGCACAGGCCCAGTCATTAGATTTAAATGGATTAGCTATGGGGCCAACTTTACATTCTATTTTTGTTTGCTTTTTGAGTTTTTCGCTTCTTGGAAGGTAAATCTTGCTTTTGCTTTGAAAATTCTTTAAAAAATTTTTTTAATGAAAATCGATTTTATTGTATCCTTAGGGTCATTCCTGACCTCATAAAATTTTTTAAATGGACCTAAACTCGTAAAATTTTGTGTGGACATTCTCACTGGTGTTAGCTAACATCACTAAAAATTTCATAATTTTAGCTTATTTTTGAACCTATTTATAAACGTTTGAATTAACGCAACTTGGCCCTTGACATTATTTTCAGTTAAAGAGATATGTAATTCTAATTTTTGGCACTTGGTAAAAAATTTTTCTGGAGGTTCTAAGGGTGGAGATTACGAATCTCATATTCGTTTGAATATGAGAGCTAGTTAAAATTAAATATAAAACGACAGATTAACCCAGAAAATTTTTTTTAATTTTTTAATTAAAAAAAAATATTAAAGGATTTTTTCATAAAATTACAAAAAAATTTTAAAATTAATTATTACAGTTCTGTACTAGCAATGTTTGGAATGCTCTCAAAAAAGGCTCTATTTTTACTTCCAATAATTTTAATTTCAATAATTATATTTATTTTCCATTCCCTATTAATTATTCAATGGATAACCTCATGGATTTTATTAAAAGAAAAAATTTATGATATAGATTTATTTATTATTATTATTGGATTTTTATTAGTTGAATTTATTTTTATTTTAGTAGGAAAATTTTTTTTTAATTAAAAATTAATTTATTAAGGCAATTTATTTACAAATACGTTGCTACAGAATTCTTCAATAAAAATATTCTGGTTTCAAGTTTATTTAAAAACAAAGTTTATTTATTTACAATTGAGCAAAATAGACGAGTAAGTTTATTTTCAAGTTTTTACAATTACAAATGTAAGATTGTAATCTTAAATATTCTGATTTAAAAAAATTCTGAAAATAAATTCTGATTAAATTCTGATTTAATATTCTGATTAAAAACTTCTTCTAATATTCTGAAAAAATATTCTGATATTTTGAAATCAGAATTACTCTGATTTTCTGAAAATATTCTGATTTTAATAAATATTCTGATTTGAAAAATTCTTCTGGTATTCTGGAAAAAATTCTGATATTCTGAAAAAATATTCTTATATTCTGGAAAAAAATATTCTGATTCTCATACATAAAAAAAATTCTGATTTATTAAAAATTCTGATTTTAATTCTGAAAATAACTAGTTCTTGATATCTCATCGTTTAATTAATTAATTCTCTTTTTTGTTGCCTAAACTAGACACGGATATTTCTAAAAAAGTTTTGATTTTTAATACACTAAAATATTATTTTCTCTCAATTTGTTTATTTTCAATTTGTTTATCCTCCTTCCTTTTTTTATTTCGAAAACCTTTTTATTTATTCCAAAATAATTTTTTCCCAAAATAATATTAAAAAATGGTCCCAGAATTAAATAAAAATATTACTAAAAAATATTCCGTTAATTTTAATAATATCCCAACTAAAAACAGAAAAAATACAATTTATTTTCTATTAATTTTATTTTTACAATTCAATTTAAGTTTGGGACAGATGGTGCACAATGGCCTTTTATTGCTTTCTTTTAGTTCAGAAATGTTTAGATATTCTGAATCTAGGTAATTCTATACTCTCAAAAAATCAGAATAAATAGGAGAGAAAAATCAGAAAATCAGAAAAAATTTCAGAAAATCAGAACAAATCAGAAAAAAATTTCTGAAAAATCAGAACAAATTAAAAAATCAGAAAAAATTAATCAGAACTCAGAAAAATCAGAATACTATTCAGAATCAGAAATTTAACTTAAAAAAACTTTCAGAATCACCCTTCAAGTTTCCCTCATTCTCAACTTGTTATGGTCTATAACAGTTATACTTGCTTTTATTGGAGAAGTTAAGGAATACTTAATTATTTTAATTCCACATTTTTGTCTTTCTGTTGGTTTTTAAATTTAATTAATTAATTGAAAAATATGTAATTTTAGATAATTTTATTGCCCTATTATTGCCTTCTTTTTTGGATTTTTATGCTCAAAATAACTCAAATATTGGCTATTACAATTACGTTAATATTATTACTGGCAGGTTTAATATTAGAGTGGAGGAGATTTCAGAATTTGTAATTTTTAAAAATCAGAATTTGTAAAGTTAATAAATCAGAATAACAATAGGTATAATAATCAGAATTTAATTTAAAACTCAACTACAAAACCAGAATAATTTAATTTAAAAATCAGAATTTAATTTTAACCACTATTTGCGCACACCTACTAATTCTCATTATTTTAATCCTTTATTATTGACAATGTATGTACATATTAACAAAATTAAAAAAAATTTTTAATTAATTAATATTCTTATGTCTATCTTGTTTATAATAATTGCTAGACAATTATAAAAATATTTTTTTAATATTTTTTTTATTTTAATAATATTTTAATTATCATTTCCGAGTACCCTAACTAAAGTAAAAAAATTAATTAATAAAAAATAATTAAAAGGAAACGGATTTAAAGTTTTATACCAGTAAAAACATTATAATTAAACATCGTGTTTATTAAAAAATTATTAAAGCATCAAAAAATACAAAAAATACAAAAGTGCATTGAGGGATAGGGAGACATAACGGGACGGACATCCGGGATTGCGGTATCAAAAAATAATCTCTTGTGTGTTTGTGTTGGGTCTAAAACATAAACTACTCTTTTCCTCTAATAGGGCAATGAATTATCCAATGACTCAGTGGCCTTAGATCTCAAAATCAGTAGGGAAACTTCATTAGAGCTCGAGATTTTTGAAAAGCCTGGGCCTGTTCCTGGGTTCCAGGTTTGATTTATTGGCCTGGGCCGGATCCTGTGCCTGTAGTCCAGGAAAACCCAGGCCCAGGAAGAACTCAGGAAGATAAAAAAATGCCTGGGCCTGGACTCTGTATATAGGAAAAACCCATGCCTTGCTTAAAGCCTAGCTGGGACTCCCAGCCCCCCTTCCCCTCTACTCCTTCCCTTCTTGATCCAAACCCAGCTCTCCCCCCCCCCCTTTCTGTCCCGATATGTCCGTCCCAATGTCTGCCTCCCTCTTTAAAGGACAATTTAAATTAAACTAATTAATCAGCCTCAAAACTAGCCCTCATAGACGGCGGGCAAGAGTAATATCCTTCTTCTGCTTGTATTTCATAAATTCTTTTAGGGAATAATTTTCTTCCACTAATTACAGGTTGTTGCTGTTCATTCAACAATTCTTTTTGTTCCTCTTCCAAATTTTCTTCTTTCACAGGGAATATTGGAGAATTTTTAATTAATCTATTTTTGGGTACCAAAACAATTTGTAATTCTCGAGAATGTGAAGACGACAACATTTCTCTCTCGGAGCTTTTGAAAATTCGAAAAAGAAAAATTCCAACGAGGAAAACTAGCAGAAATCCACAGAAGGAGAATAAAAGTAGACCCGAAGGGAATAAATGCTCTTCAATATTTTCCTCAAAATTTTTTGCTGTTAGTTCTGATGAGGAGATAAATGATACTGGTGAACGGTCTAATGCTGTTCCTAAATAAAAATAAAATTTTTTAATTGAATGTCTGTGACCAAATGTCCTTTTTTCTACTGTGTGACTAAATGTCCTTTTTTCTACTATGTGACCAAATGTCCTTTTTTCTACTATGTGACCAAATGTCCTTTTTTCTACTATGTGACCAAATGTCCTTTTTTCTACTATGTGACCAAATGGGTACTTTTCCGTTATTTGACATTTAGACAACTTGTTATTATTTTTGACCGAAGTGGGCATTTTTATCCAATTGACCGAAATGAGTCTTTCCCCTTTCTGACCGAAATGAGTACTTTTGGATGATTTTATGTAAGGGCATAAAATGAGAGATTACAGTACCCCTAGATTAATTCCTCAATTTATCTCTTAAAAGTACTTACTGCTTCTAAAAGTATTAGCAAATTGATTGGGAGAATAAGAATATGAAGAGGAAGTGGAAGGATAATTGGCAATAATTGAAGGTCTTCTAGGGGGGTGTTGTTGAGTGTTTTGGTGTTTATTATTATTATTGTTGTGGTGGTGACGATGTTTATGGTGTTTTTCTTTTCTTGCTTTGTTAAAGTCATCATCCCATCTAAAAATATTGAAAGTTGTATTTTTTGTGTTTCTGTGTGTTTTTATGTGTTTCGTTTCTGTATTATTTTGTGTTTTTTTTTGTATTTTTGTGTTTTCTTGTGTTTTTTTTGTATTTTTCTGTGTTTTTCTGTGTTTTTTGTGTTTTTCTGTGTTTTCTTGTGTTTTTCTGTGTTTTTTTGTGTTTTTTGTGTTTTTCTGTGTTTTCTTGTATTTTTCTGTGTTTTTCTGTGTTTTTTGTGTTTTTCTGTGTTTTCTTGTGTTTTTCTGTGTTTTTTTGTGTTTTTGTGTTTTTCTGTGTTTTCTTGTGTTTTTCTGTGTTTTTTTGTGTTTTTCTGTGTTTTCTTGTGTTTTTTTGTGTTTTTCTGTGTTTTCTTGTGTTTTTCTGTGTTTTTCTGTGTTTTCTTGTGTTTTTCTGTGTTTTTCTGTGTTTTTTTTGTGTTTTTCTGTGTTTTCTTGTGTTTTTTTGTGTTTTTTGTGTTTTTCTGTGTTTTTTTGTGTTTTTCTGTGTTTTCTTGTGTTTTTCTGTGTTTTTTTGTGTTTTTTGTGTTTTTCTGTGTTTTTCTGTGTTTTTTTGTGTTTTGTGTTTTTCTGTGTTTTTTTGTGTTTTTTCTTGTATTTTCTTGTGTTTTATCTAATTTTATATTTTGTGTTTCATATTTATTTAAAAAATACATACCTTAAAAGCACTTTAGCTCCTTTCGGAATAGGCCTAGAAGTTTGTGGATCAGGCAAGAGAGACCAAATAATTTTGTCGTCGGAATATCCAGCAATAGTCATTTTATTTTATTTTTTAAATAATTTTAAAAATATATTAAAGTAGCGAAATATTAAAATTATCTTCTGCTTATAAAGAAATTTTTTTAATTTAAAAAAAATTTAAAATATGACAGATAATCTTTATATTTAAATATTTATTTACATTTATTTTTGCAAAAAAATTTTTTTAATAATGTAAAATTATTTAAAATAACGAGGAGAGAAGGAGATTAAATAAACTATGCATAATATATTTAAATAAATGTGCGCAAATTTATTTTGCACTTTTTGACGGTATAAAAAATTTTTTGGTATAATGTTGATTCATTTTAAAGCAGCTAAGACGCCTTAAGGATATACTTTGTTGGAAAAAATAGAAGCTTTTGATTATCCCATAGTGACTCCCTTTGTTATTTAGACAGAAACAGATATGCCGAACATTTTTTTGTATATACCAGGGAACGAGCCGACAATGAAACAAAATTCACGATTTTCGGAACTCGGGAATTCACGACGATTTTTGGATTGGGAATTCCCGATTTGCGGGAATCGGGGATTTTGTGTTACTGTTGGCTCGTTCCCTGATATATACAAATAAGGAGAGTGCCGTTTCGCCTATCGTCTTTCGCTTTTCAAGATCATTTTCGGCATACCTCTATTGTATGGACAGTATGGACAGACTCTCGATATAGCTTGACAACACGTCACTAACAGCCCCAAGTGACTAATAGACGTTTTATTGGAGGAAAGACGACATGATATCGAAATCCTATAATATATAACCTACCAAAGGCTGTCGAAAGTTCGATTTCTGTTCATTAGTGTGTTTCAAAATTTTTTAAGACAAAATTTTTTTGCGTTTTTCTAGCGCACATGGAAAGGTAGAAATGATGGAAAATGAGAGAAAGAAACTGAAAGTTAAATTGCCAATAAATATTTAAATATTAAAAACATCCGGAAACACACTTTTTAATCTTAAAAAGAAATATTTTAAATTTTTTTAAAAGAGTGAATAACCATTAAATACTTTTAGATTGAAAAATAAGGGATTGGAATTATCGTTCAAACAGTGTAAAAAAAACAAAAATAATTTTTTGAATTTTTAATTTTAATTTTTTTTTGATAAAATTGAGTACAAAAATAAAAAAAATATTTTGGGAAAATTTTTGAAAAATTTTAGAAAATTTCTGAAGATTTTTTAAAATTTTAAAAATTTCTGAAGATTTTGAAAATTCTCAAAAATTTTCCAAAATTCTCGAAAATCTCTTTAAAAACAAGCAAAAAATAGGCTTTTCTAAAGCTCTATTCACGCAAATACTCATCATTTATTTATTTAATTAAATAAATATTAAGGTATATAAATAGGTATTTAATAAATCTCCTTTTAAAAATGATTAGGAAAAAGGGGGAAAATATTGTTTTGTCTTTTAAAAATAATAATATTTTTAAGTCTGCCTCCACTGAAAGTCTGCCTAGTGTAGAAACAGACTTTTATTACATAATTAAAAAAATAATTATTTTTTTAATTTTGAAAGGAAAGCTTAAAATAAAATAATAAATAAATTAATAATAAAATAAAAATTGAGGGGAGATTAAAAAATTTTTTTTGTATTTTTTTACCTTTAAAAATACATAGACGTACATTAATTAATATTTAATGGTCTTTTTGTGTGACATATCTTTTTTGCTATTATTTTTAAAGTTTTGACGATATTAATATTTTGTTAATAATAGTGAAGAATTATTTAAAAAAAAATATTTTTAGATTAAAAAAAAATTTTTTTTGTAATTTTTTTAATTTTATAAGTACTTAAATTAGGTATGTGTGTATGAATTTTGAGGCTTCCTTAATATTTTTTAAAATTATTTTAAAAAATAAAAAATAAATTTAGAATGATATCAAGTACAAAATTTAAAAATTAAAATAAAAAAAAATTTTTTTTGAATTAGAAAAATTTTTTTGAAAATTTTTGAAAATTTTTTCAAAGAATATTTTAATAAAAAATTCAAAAAAAAATCCACTTGAAAGTACACAAAAATAGACGAACTTGTTTTTACTTAAAATTATTGTAAAATTAAATAAATTTACAAAACCTTTTTAAAATAAAACTTGATTTTAAAATTGCCTTATTTTTTAAATTCAACTTGAATTAAATAAATAAAAATACAAAAGGAAATTTAAAAAAAATTTTGAACTAAAAATAAGTTTATCTAACAAAGTTGAGTTAGAAAAGGTTGGAAAATAAAAAAAGAATAATTGTAATTACAAATTGTAAAAAAAGTTGGAAAATTATTAGTATAAAAGTGAATAAATTCCAACTTTAATTCATTCTAAAACTTTAAAATAAACTTGAAATATTAAAAATACAACTTTAAATTAAATAAACTTTTTTTACAATTTTAAAATAAACTTTGAAATAAACTTTAAATAAAACTTGCAAATTTTAAATAAATTTGCAACTTGAAATACAACCTTAATTTAAGTAAACCTGAAATACGACTTTAAAATAAACTTGGAAACTTTACAAAATACAAAAAATACAGAAAAATACAAAAATATGTATTTTACCAAAGTTTTATTTTTCTCCCTTATTTTTACAATTATTTTTGTTAATTTATGTATGACGACTAAAGCTGCGTCATTTAATGAAGAGTTTGTCTTAAAAATATTTTTATTAATAATTCTTATTTTATCTTTAAAGAAAGCCTCTACAAGTGCGCGAAAAACGCAACTACTATTATCCTTATAATAATTATTTTTATGGTAAATAAATAATTTTTTTGAAAAATTTTTTTCTGAATTTTTTATTAAATTAATAATTAAATTAATTATTATTTTCTAAATTAATTAAAAAAAATTTAATTTTTAATTTTAAAAAAATAGGTGGATATCCAGACAATGTGTTTTACCCGTATACCCGTCAAGTGTATTATAAAAGAATTGTTTATCCTAATTTGTATGGATATGGAAATTATTGGTAAATAAATGAAGATAAATGAATTAAATAAAGATTTTATTAATCAAAAAATTTTTTTGTGAATTTTTAGAATTTTTTTTACATTTTTTGAATAAATTTTGTATTAAATAATTAATAAAAAAATAATTAAAATAATTAAAAAATACAAAAAAAATTATTTTTGAATTATTCTTCTAATTAAAATAATTTTTAATTAAAAAAGACAAAAAAATAATAATTTTTAGAAAATTAATATTAAAATAAATTAATTGAATTCGTCATTTAATATAGTCAGTAAATATTAAATATAATTAATTTTAACTAAAACACAAAAATAAAACTTGAAAAACACAGAAAAATACAAAAAATACAATAATAATATTATTTTTAATAAACTTGAATTAATAAACTTTACAATTTGTAATTACAATTAGTAAATTAATTTTAATAAAAATAAACCTGTCCAAGTTTATTTAAATATGTATATTGTAATTACAAATTGTAAAAAGTTTATTAATTCAAGTTTATTTAATAAAGCTTTTTTAATTTAATAAAATAAACTTTTCCAACTTTTTCCAACTTATTCAAGTTTATTTAATTAAATAAACTTGTCCAAGTTTATTTTATTATAAAACTTATTTAATTTATTATTTAAAACTTGCTAGTAATAAATTAATTTATTTTAAAGCATTTAAAGCAAGTCAATTTAAAAATCAATTAAAATAAATCAATTGCCACTCTATAAATAAATAAAATAAATTTATTTTTAATTTATTTTTTATCTATTAATATTTTTTATTATTTCCTAGTCTAAAAAAATGATAAAATATTTTTTCAATTTAATGTCTTTCAATAATTAATTTAATGGAAACACTTTCTATGGAAATATATAAAATACATAAAAATGTTCCTATAAATGATACATCTTCAATTTTTATGTTGGTACTTTTTATTTTATTTTTTATTTATCTTTTTTATTTTTAAAAAATACATATTCTCATTTCTCTTCGATGATTTGTCACATTTTCGCCCTGTTGACATTTTTAAAAATTTCTGCCCTGTTGGCATTATGTCACATTTTGCCTTTTGTCATTTTGTCGCATTTTTGCCCTGCTGACATTATGTCGTATTTTTGCCTAGTTGACATTTTGTCGTATTTTTGCCTAGTTGACATTTTGTCGCATTTTTCCCTCATTGACATTTTTCAATTTACCATCTTGTCTCTACATCACTATTAGTTATTTTGTTCTTTTGGTATTTTTGTTTTTCTATAACCTTTATTTCTCTTGTAGTCTCCTCATTTTCGAGATTATTTTTATTTTCCTTTTCTCTAATTTGTTCACCCTTCCTTACCAACTTTTCTATTTATTTTTCTCTATTTTTTTAACAAATTTTGTATTGTTAGAGAGTTTTTTTTTCAAAGTTTGTCCAATTATTCATTCGTTTCTTAGGGCAACCATTTAAGAATTTCATAAAACTTTTCACTTTTCTTTTTAAGATTGTTTGCTTTTGTGTTTAAATTTAAAAGAAAAGCTTTCCTTTTTTAGAAGCAATTCTCTAATGTTAAACGATGCTGCATCATCAAAAATTTCTTTAATGGAAGAACCTCAAGTTTCTGTTGCTGTTAATAATAATCTTTTGGAGGTTTGTTAGATTTTTTTTAATTTTAAAGGACAGTCAGACCTTACTTATAGACCAGGGGTGTGCCGAAACGGATTTTAAAAAGCGAAACGCGAAAGACGAAATTAAATTTAAAAAGTGAAACGCGAAATGCGAAACGCGAAAGTAAATTTAAAAAGCGAAACGCGAAAGTCCAAAAAACGAAAATCCGCGAAACGCGAAACGCGAAACTCGCACACCCCTGTTATAGACCTTACCCAATTAATAAAGCCCCCTTTTGTCTCCCAAAAAAGCTTATAATGGGTGTGCTGACATATCAGGATTGGTGTGGCAAAAATACCCCCCAGTGACCGTAGGTCTCGAAATCGGTAGGGTAACTGTTCTTACATTGAAATATCCCGATATCTCCGTCCCGATATGCCCGCGTGCCTTATAATGAGCTTTTGGGAAATTCATAATGGAAAGAGGTGAGATCGAGGTGGGAAATCACTTTGGATACTCATGTTTTACATTTTCTAATATTTGATTGCCCACAGGATGAAGAATACCCCTCTAACTAATACCCTCGATTCAAAAAGATTTTAGTGGTTTTATCTTATAGGGAGAGGTCTGACTTGTACCTTTTTTACAGCACAAGAATGGTGGTGGAGACAATCTTGTTGACTTCTATATTGGACTTGGATTGGCTATTAGTTCGAGTATATTTATTGGTTCCTCCTTTATCATCAAAAAGAAAGCTTTAATTAAATTGGCTAGTGTATCTGGTGATTATGCACAGAGGGCTTCTGAAGGGGGTTATGGATATTTGAAGGAGTGGCTTTGGTTTGTTTTTTTTCTTTTTTTTTCATTTGAAAGGTGTGTGTTGGGTAGATAAGCTTATTTCTCATTGGTACTTTGGGAGTATATTCCCGCATGTCCGCAAATGTTTGTCCGCAACTTTTCTTTTCTTTCATCTACCTTCTCTCAGAGATTAAAAATGGACTTGGAATTGTGATTGTGTCGGGTTACTCAAAACCTGGGCCCGTAGAATAAGAAGGTGGTTATGTTTACCTAACCAGCAACCGAGTTCTTATTCTACGGCCCTGAACTTATTTCTCAGCCTGACCCTTCCCTGTTATGGACCGACAACTTGAGAAGAATATTCATTTCAAGTGATGATCTAGATCGACTTTTAGTCAAGGAGAAATTGGGGGCTGAATCCCTAGGGGTTTTGATTCCTCATTTTTTGATTTTCTGTGGCTTTTGGTTATTAAGAAGTGGAAATTTGGAAAGCTCATGACCTTGCGTCTTTGGGGAAATAAAATTCTGAATCCGTCGATTCTCTATTCTAAAAAAAATATTTTTTCTAAATTAGGTGGATGGGTGTAATTACAATGGGAATTGGAGAGGCTTGCAATTTCGCTGCCTATGCTTTTGCTCCAGCAAGTTTAGTAACTCCAATGGGGGCTTTGGTTTGTTTTTTCTTTTTAATTTTTTTTATTTTTGAATTTAGAGTGTTCTAGTAACCGCTGTCCTCTCCTCTCGAATGCTTAAAGAACGCTTAAATTTATTGGGAAAAATTGGATGTGCAATTTGTCTGTTGGGTTCAACTTCTATTGTTATTCACTCACCTAAAGAAGAGGAAGTGTCGTCGATGAGAGAATTGGCGGAGAAAATGAGAGATCCAGGTTGTGTTTTTTAAGGGGGACATTTTTTGACTTAATATTAGGGCAGGAAATATTTCAAAGAGTTTAAAATTATTTAAACGTTCTTTTGGAGTGATAGGCTAAATATTCGGCTATATATATTCGGCCTATTGCCAGATTTTTTTTTAATTAATAGACTCGTTTTTTGATAGTTATAGGCCCCAGGACTCATGTCAGTCGGATTTCTTCTGTTTTTGGCTACTTTCCTTTGGTACTATTGTCTTTGCCTTTTTTTTATTTTCTTCTGCCTTCCGTCTTTTTATTTTTAAAATATGGGCCCTGTTATAGACCTTCAAAATTGGATACTTTTTGGAGATTCTTCCTCTCTTTCCTTTAATTTTTTTCAAAAAAAATTATTTTTTTTTAGTATTCATTACCTACGTAGCTGTAGTTTTTGCCATAACCCTAGTTTTTGTGTTCTATGCCGCCCCTCGTTATGGCCATACAAATATTCTTGTATACATTTCAATATGTTCATTAATTGGATCTCTGTCAGTTATCTCTGTTAAAGGACTTGGATTGGCAATTAAGGAAAGTATTACTACAAAAGAACAATTTACTAATTGGTTTGTTTCGGAAAAAAATTTTTTTGGGGATTTTTTTTTCAAATTTTCGATGTCTTATAAAGTTCGGCTATTCTCATTAAGACCATAACCATGAGTTTTTCTGGAGTAGGGGGCAAGGGGGAAATTTTTGTGCGCCGAATTTTTGGGTGGATTCCCCCCTAGCTACGGCTCTGGTCCGCATCTTTTATTGTATATTTTTTAAAATTAATTGAGTAACGTGTAGTTGACCCACGTTTTTGTTAGTTGATTTTAATTCCCCCCTTTTTTTAATTAATGAAAAAAAATTTTTTAAAGGTTAACATGGTTTTGGTTAATTGCTGTTCTCTCCTGTATATCAATTCAATTAGTTTATTTAAATAAATCATTGGATATTTACAATACTTCTATGGTTTTTTTTTTCGGATTTTTTTTTTCAAAATTATAAAATAGTTACCGGCCTGGATCTTGATTTTCCTCAAGTCCAAGGTCGAATTTAAGACCTTTCTTGGGTTCATTTATTTTTCCTATACTCGAGATTAAAAAATTTTTGCACTCTAAAAGACATTGTTAAAGTTGTCCGATTTTCAATTTTAGGTTCTCTATTCCCTATTTTTGTTCTATATTTGACTCTGTCAATCTATTTTTTTTTTGGTTGGAAGGAACCAGGGATATTAATTTAGCATATTTTCCTTTAAAAAATTTTTATTTTATTTTAAAGGTAACACCAATATATTATGTTTTCTTTACAAGTTTTGTAATTTTGGCTAGTTCAATATTGTAAATTTTTTTTTTAAATATTTTAATTTTTAAAATTTTGTTTGTAGATATAAAGAATGGTCATGTTTGGGTGCAAGTGATGTAATTGGGAATGTTATTGGTTTTTTGACTACAATTATTGGAATATTTCAAGTAAATTAAATTTTTTCCTTTTTTTTTAATTAAAATTTGTTAAAATGTTTTTAATAAAGCCTCGTATTTATTTACCCTCTGAATTACACATCCCTCAATTTGACTTTTTTTTTAAATTTTGATTGCCATTGACTACTGGATATAGGGGAGCTACCTAAGCGATACCTCTATTTAAGTTACATTAAATTATAAAATTGAATAAATTTTCGATTTCAAAAAAAAAGGGGGGGGGGTTGGCTAGAGGATTTCATTTTTCTTTCAAAAAGTTTTTAATTAAAAAATAAAATTTTTTTTTGTTTAAAGATGCAATTATTCCGAGATATAGAAATTGGATCAATTAAACGCTTTCGTTTATTGTGTTCAACAAATCAATATATAAGAAATTCATCTCAACACCACCAACAACAACGTGAACATAATCGAAGCCCAACAGGTAGTGTAACAAGTAGTATTTCTAGAGTTGATGCTGTAATGTCTGAAGTTGGTTAAAAAAATTTTTAAATTGAATTTTTTGTGGAATATACTAAAGTTGAATCTCCTAAAATATAATGAAGGGATTGAAAAAAATATTTTTAAAGCATTTTTGGTAAATTTAAAAGCTAATTTTAATGAGAATTATTACTTTGGGACAGGAGTAATAACTAGCCTTTATTTGAGAGGCTAGTTAACTATATTGAAGTGTATAATTTTATTGGAGAGATTCAACTTTATATATAAAAAATATTTTTTTTGGAAGGAGAATAATTAGGAGATGAATGGAAAAATATAGGAAAAAAAATTTTTTCTGAGAATTTTTTGAGAGGATTTTGTTTGTGTGACTGCCTGTAAAGTAGTAGAGTAATTCGTTTTCTCCTTCCAAAAATTTATAAATTTTATTTCAATTTTTCTCTCATCCTTTAAATTAGAAAAATTTTTTTTTGCTTGCAGTATCGTCCTTTTTTTATTAATTTTTCTTTTTTAATTTTATAAAATTATTTTTTTAAGTCAAATCTCTCCAAAAAAATTTGTTAAAGTTTATTAATTCAAATAATTAAAAAGGGAGAGATTTTATATTCTATTTTAAATATGTACTACTACAATTTTAGCTCATTATATTGGCCATTTTGTATATTCAAAAACTCTTTTTTTTCTATAATTGTATTTTTTTTATTTTTAAAAATATTCCAATTTTTGACTAAAAAATAAATTTAAGAAATAATTTTAATTAGAAAATTTTAATTAATTTTTTAAAAATTTTTTAGTAAGAAGAAATTTTCTTGAAATAAAAATTTTTATTCGCTTCCTTTTATGGAAAAAAATAATTTTAAGAAAAAATTTTTTTATAACAATGTCAAGGTGAAAAGAACAATAGTAGAAAATATTTCTAAAAAATGTATTTTTAAATTAAAAATATCTAAAATTAAAAAAAAAGGAGAGAAATTGTAGTGTTTTTTTTAATTTTGTAATTTAAAGAAGATTAATTTTTTTTATTATTTTTTGGTCGTCATTTAAAAAAAAATAAAGAATTAAAAAATTAAAAAAAATCATTTTTTATTCTGTCCACAGTTTGACCCGTTCAATTAATTAATTATTTTTAATTTAAAAATTATCGCGATGAAATTGTTGTCCACTAAAAGAAGCAGAAGGTTGTTGCTGTTTATTTAATTGTTGTTTATTTCCTTCACTTTCTTCACTAAAATTACTTGAAGAATATCTTTGATTACTTGTAGAAGCATTCCCTCCTCCTCCACCAATTTTTAAATTTCCTCCACTATTTAAATATAATTGTGTCAATGTTTGTGAAGGTTGTGATGTCAATTGTCGCAATGAGGAGCCTAAACATTCTGAACCGAGATGCCGAAAAGGTTCAAATTGTGAAACCTGAGAAAAAGAAAAAAAAGTTATTTGTAAATTAAAAATAAAAAAATTAAACTGTTCCGGAAAGTATATTTACAAACTAGAGAATTAATTTTTACAAACTAGAAATTAAATATATTTCCGGAGAGAAAATATAAAAAGTTAGATTGTAAAAGGTTTCCGGAAAAATATATTTACAAACTAGAATATAAAACCTTCCGGAAAGAATTAATTTTGATATTTTTGCAAACTTCAAACTAAATATTTCCGGAAAATATAATTAAAAGCTAGATAGTAAAACTTATCCGGAAAAATATATTTACAAACTAGAATATAAAACTTTTCCGGAAAAGATTAATTCTGATATTTTTACAAACTAGAAAACTTTTCCGGAAAATATATAAACTAGAAAACTTTTCCAGAAAACTAAAAATTAATTTATATATTTACTTGTGCAACAATTCTAGAAAGTTTTGATGGTTGTGTTGAACTTTGACAACAATGATCTTTTAATGCATTAATATAAGTTGAATTAAAACGTTCAACGGAAGTTTGGGTAATCATTCCAGAAATACTTGGTCCAACTTTAAACATTTGTAAAACAATCAAAGAAGCTAAACAAGGAATATCCCAGTCAATAAGCATCCGAAAGTTGTGGGCAACTGCGGTAACTTCACAGAACCATTTACGCCATTCTATAGGTAATTCGTCTGTTTTGAGACAAATACCGCCTTCAAACCAGAAGTCTTCTGGCATTTGTGTAGTCCTTTTAAAAATAAATAATTAAAAATCTGGAAAGTAAATATTTCCGGAAAATATATTTACAAAATAGAGAATAAATTCCGGAAAATATATTTACAAACTAGAAAGTTTCCGGAAACAATTTTGTACACTTACAAACTTGAAAATAAATGTTTCGAAATATTCCGGAAAGTTTAAGGGGAATATTTACAAACTTAAACGTTTTCCGGAAACTATAAACTTAAATAATTTCCGGAAGATATTTAAGTGGTTTCTGGAAAATATTTGCAGACTTGAAAGTTTTCCGGAATTTTTACAAACTTAAAAATTAATTTATAGCTTTCCGGATAATGTTTACTATTTTTCCGGAATTTTTACAAACTTAAATATTTCCGGAAGGTTTAAATTGTTTCCGGAATTTTTACAAACTTAAATATTTTCCGAAACTATTAACTATATTACTTTAATTCAGCCCAACGAAACGCCTGACGAACAGCAAAAATAGGGAAAAAGTTGTGGAGTATAAGTAAACGCAACTCTGATTCATTCAACTCTACAATATCAGGTATTCGACGAGCAAATCCCCAAATATTTTGAAGTTCCAATTCCAATATAGAACAAAACTCATTTAAAGATAAACGTTGTTTCTGAATATTCAAGGAAAATTTTTTAAATTTTTTTCCAAATTTTTTTTACAATTTCTCTTCTGCATGCCGTATTCATTTGTCCATGTATTTCATTAAAAGCTTTAGAAATAATTGTTAAAATGGGAAGGGGCGGACTTTGAGCAGGTTCAGGTTGCCCTAAAGTAGACATTTGAAAAGAAGTTGAAGATGATGGTGAAGTAATTGAAGAACTTTTTACTTTAGAAGGAAGACGTCCTCTACGCCCTGTTAAACTACCAAAACGGACAATCTTAAAAAAATAATTTTTTAATTATTTAAGAAATATTTTTTGCCACCTCTCGAACCATTCCAACATCCAAACATTTTTGAAAACGACAATATTGACAACGTGAACGATATTTTTTGTCAATTCTAAAATGAAAAATTAAATTTAAAAATTAAATTTTTACAAAATAAAAACTTACGGGCACTTTTTATCGCCAGCACAAACATATTGTGACTTTTTCTGTACGGTTCGTTTGAAGAAACCTTTACATCCTTCACAAGTTAATGCTCCATAATGTTGACTTAAAAAATTATTAATAAAACTTGAAAATCGCAAACTTAAGATTAAACTTTACGGAAAAGTTTGCAACCTTAAAAATTAATTTAATTTTCCGGAAAAGTTTGCGAACTTGAATATTTAAATTTCCGGAAAGGGTTTGCAAACTTAAATATTAATTTAATTTTCCGGAAGACATTTGCAAACTTGAAAATCAACCTTTCCGGAAAGTTTATAAACTTAAATAGTAATTTAATTTTCCAGAAAAGTTTACAAACTTAAAAAATTAACGTTTCCGGAAAAGTTAGCAACCTTAAAAATTAATTTAATTTTCCGGAAAACATTTGCAAACTTAACGATTTAGAAACTATTATTACAAACTTAAAATTAATTCCGGAAATATAAAAATTACAATACATTATAATCCAATTTATGATTTAATTTTTAAAAAATTCCAACCAAACAGCGTAGTCATTACAAACTGCACAAATCTTAGATTCATCTACTTGAGAAAACTCGTCGTCCATTTGATGATGTGACGACGATGTAGATGGCGATCCTCCACTAATAAAAGCAGCCTGTCCACCAACATTTTGACATATTCCTGTATTTGATGAAGACGTGACTGCTGTGGATGTGGAAGAAAATGCTGCAGATAACATTGCAGCAGATAGGGGACTGCCACGGATAGATTGAGGAAGATGAGGAACAACGGAAGTCATTGCTGAAGGTGGAATTTGTGGGATAATGTTGGTTCCACCTTGAACGACATTAATATGTTGTGGATCTTGTGGAGTGGTAGAAAACATTCTTTAAAAAAATAAATTTCAGAAATGCATATAAAAAATTAATAAAAATAATAACAAGCTTAAGAATTTATTTTTCCGGAAAATGTTTACAAACTTAAAAATTAATTTATATTTTTCCGGAAAATATTTATATTTTCCGGAAATATTTACACACTTAAAAATTATTTTTATTTTCCGGAAAATATTTACAAACTTAAAATTAATTTATATTTTTCCAGAAAGTGTTCACAAACTTAAAAAAATACCCTTCAAATCCTCTCATTAAATTTGCCGCTGATGTTTGTTGTGCAACTAAAGCAGAAGCTTCCATAAAATGTTGTTGTTGTTGTCCAGCCATAGTTAATATAGAAGGGTTGTGTTGTTGTTGTCTTTGTTGATTCATTGTTGTAACAACCGAACAACTTATAGTCTGACGTCTTTGTTGTTGTTGTGAATATGTTGGTTGGTGTTTTTGTTGTTGGGGATGTTGGAATTGTGACATTGTAAATTGTTGTTGTAATTGTAAAGGTAATTGCATTTGTGATAAAGAATTTCCGGAAATTAGAGATGTTGGGGAGAGAGACGAAGAAGAAGAAAATGGGGGAGAGGTTGTTGCAGAAAGTTCAAAACTAAAAAAATAAGAGAGAAATAAATTCAAGTTTGCGAAATAATTATTTATATTACTGTATTTTATTTAAGTTTATTAAACTTTCCGGAAACTTAAAAAGTTTATAACTTTTCCGGAAACTTAAAAATTATTAACCTTTCCGGAAACTATTTACAAACTTAAAAATTAATATATTTCCGGAAAATATCTACAAATATTTACAATCTTTCCGGAACCTATTTACAAACTTAGAATTAATTTATGTTTCCGGAAAATGTTTTATTTTTCCGGAAAATGTTTACAAGCTTAAAAATTAATTTATATTTTTCCGGAAACTGTCTACAAACTTAAAAAATAAATTATATCTTTCCGGAAAATATCTACTAAAACTTACAATCTTTCCGGAAACTATTTACAAACTTAAAAATTAATATCATTATTTGTTTTTCTCTTACCCTCTTAATAAAAATGCTGGATGTGTTGCTGGAAATAAATTTTTGTAAGGTGACCAGGAAGGAAATGGGGTTGTTTGTGTTGATGTTATTGTATTACTATTATTATCACTATTATTTGTAGTAACCAAAAGTTCTTGTTTAATTGAAGAAGAAACTTCAGGTATTAATGGACGAAAGGATGAACTAGCTTCGCTTTGTTGTTGATCCTCCATTAGTCTACTACTGGTGGCTGACTGTTTTTCAACTGATTGGGATTTTCTCTGAAAAAAAATAATTTTAGAAGATTAATTTATTGAAAAAATATTTTTCTACCCTAACATATAATGAATTTTATTAAATTAATTTTATAAGAAAATTTGGAAACTCTACTAGTTTGGTCTATTAAATTAATGCATATTTATTTTCATTAGATTTTCTCCTATTTATTATTTTAAATACTAACATAAGCTTTAAAAAATAATAATAATAACACTATTGTAATTTAAAGGACACCTAAATAACGTCAAATAAATATTTATTAGACAATCACAAAATTTTTTTCTTAATCTTTTTTTGTTCTAGAAAATCTCGAAAAAATAAAGAAAATAAAAATTAAAAAAATATAAATTAATTACATCATCAAAACTTTATAATTTTTAATGTGCGCAAAATTTAAATACAACGGCACGGCCTTAAAAAATTAAAAAAAATTTTTTTCTTGCGCACAAAAAAATTTTTTTTCTCTCACTTTTTCTTTTTGGATTAAAAAGCTTTATAGGCGCAAAAATGTTTCCCTCTTTTAGCTGACAGGATTATATATATATTGCTTTGACTGGAAAACCTTTTTACCTTATTTTTATTTATAAATAGTCGCGCACCGTTCAGGGCTTCTCCCTCTCATTTAAAGAAAGTAAACGAAAAAAGCGTCACTAAAAGGGGAAAATAACTAAAAAAAGGTTGAGAGAGAGACTACTGACTGACGTTATTAAAAGTCTAATCCATTAAGGGAATAAAAAATAAAATTTTAGAAAAAAATGGCAGAAGATAAACGACCAAAACATGTATAAGGGAACGGATCATGAATGGAAAGAGAGAAAAAATGGTGGCACAAAAAAAGAAATGTTTTTATTGGACTGCTAAAAGCTGAATTATTAGAACCCATTAATAAATTAAATATTATAGTACAGACTTGTACAGTTAATCTATGTTTTTGTGAGGGGAACTTAATGGGGATCGTATAAAGATAAATTAAAAACAGAGTTATTTTTGGAAGGAAAACAGTAGTTTGGTTTAGAGATTAGAACGAGACGAGGGCTTGTTATTTTAAAATCTTAGCTGGCTCAAAATTTTTTTGGAGATATCGACCAGGGCTGGAGAATTTTGAATTTTAAAAAAGCGGAAGATGGAAGCGAAAGGCTCAAAAAAAGCGGAATTCTGCAGAAGGAGGAAGCGGATCCAGCTCTGATTTTGATTTGATTCAGTCCTCAAATGCGGTGTCTATTTTAGGGCACGTCGCCTATATCGAGATTCTGTTTAGGAAAGCTTTCAGCCCTAATTTTAATTTGATTCAGTCCTCAAATCCGGTCTCTAGTTTAAGAGATAAAAAAAATTGAGCTAGAAATGGAGGGATCCATCTAAAGAAAGAAACCTCTCATATGAATAAAAATGTCGCCTATATCGAGAGTCGTTCTAGAAAAATTTCAAAATTAAGAGATCCATATATAATAGAACAGAGATTCTCCAAAAAATTCTGATGAAATTACAGCTAATTTGTCTCAGTTTAAAAAGGAAGAGTGTTCATAAAAACAGAGTAGTCTAGATTAGACATCAGAATGAGACAAAATCTCCTTGTTTTTATTTAACTCATGCCTTTTTTAGGAGATAAATCTTCCTTTTAAAAAACAAGGGATAAAATTCGTTATTTAAATTAATACAAAATATAAATAAAATAAATTTACTTTTATTTATATATTTATACCTTTCCTTATCCATCTTTTCCCTTTACTTTTTTTTGCTAAGCACCACCCTCTTTTTTAATAAAAATATTTATTATTTTTATTAAAATTAGGCCCAGTTCCTTGTTTAGTGTTCAAAATAATTAACCGAATTGATAGGGAAAGGTAGGAGAGAAAAGGAGATTTAGTTGGATTAGCGGGGGTGGAAGGAGGAGGAGGAAGGGGGGAAGGAGAATGAGGGGAAGATTAGCGGGGGTGAAAATAAATAGTAGAAGAGCAAAAGTATATATAGAAAATTAGCCAATAAAAAAAGTAAAAAAAAAGTAAAGTATTTAACCCAATCGGATTTTGAAAGTGTGGGAGGGGATATAAAGAAAAAAAGTGATTTTTTTATATTTGAAGATTTTTGTAGTTTTTTAGAGGATTTTAATAATTCTTCTCTCATTTTTGGAAAATATTTGAGTTATAATTGATATTTTTATTTTAAGAAAAATCTTAATTATTTAAAGAATTAATGTGTGGGAGAGGTAGGCGACTTAATTAATTAAATCAGAATTAAGTTTACAAACTTGAGTTTATATAAAAACCAGAATTAGAACTTAAAAGTCAAACTAAGTATCAAGTTGGTAGTAATTCTGTTTTAATAGAATTCAGAATTAAAATCAGAATTAAATATTATTCTCAAGAAAAACCAGAATTCTCGTTTTAATAAAAACCAGAATTAAGTCTAAATCAGAATTCAGAATTCTGATTTAAACAAAATCAGAATTTTGGTCTTGAACTAAATCAGAATTTTGGTTAAATAAATCAGAATTTTGCTCTTAACCTAAATCAGAATTCTGGTTAAAAAACAGAATTAAGTCTAAATCAGAATTCTGATTTAAATAAAAATTTTGGTTTTTAAATAAATCAGAATTTTGTTCAAATCAGAATCCTATTTTTAAACTAAATCAGAATTCTGATTTTAAAAACATTTGACACTAAACCAGAATTATTTATTTAAATTCAACTAAATCAAAATTTTGGACCAGAATTAAAACCTAAAAGTCAAACTTAAGTATCAAGTTGGTAGTAATTCTGTTTTAATAGAATTCAGAATTAAAATCAGAATTAAATATTATCTCAAGAAAAACCAGAATTCTGGATTTAATAAAAACCAGAATTAAGTCTAAATCAGAATTCTGATTTAAACAAAACAGAATTCTGGTTTTGAACTAAATCAGAATTCTGATTTTAAAATCAGAATTTTGGTTTAATAAAAATCAGAATTAAGTCCAAATCAGAATTCTGGTCTTAACCAAATCAGAATTATGATTCAAATCAAAATTCTGGTTTTTAAATAAATCAGAATTTTGTTCAAATCAGAATCCTATTTTTAAACTAAATCAGAATTCTGATTTAAAAATATTAGACACTAACCCAGAATTATTATTTAAATTCAAGTTTACAAACTTAAGTTTATTTGAGTTTGTATTTACCTATTTAAAAAATAATCAGAATTAAGGTCAGAAACACTCCTAATAAACCTAAAAAATAAACAACATTTGTTTTATTAAAAATATGCAGCGGTCATTTTTACTGTCTACATATTTTTGCTCATTTTTTATTTTTTAAAAAATTTCTGCTGACCATATCGCAACATCTCATCCTTCCTTCACCTTTTATTTATTTAAATTAATTTTTTTTATTTTTGTTTTTTAAAACTCTCTCTTCAAAAAATTTATCGTCATCATCTTTTTAGCTTTTTAAAGGGTTTTTAGTATTTAAATAAATTTTTATATTCAATTTTTTGCTACTCCTTTTAGTAAAGAATAAAAAATAAATTTTTTTTGGTGACGGATGTTGCGATGAAGGAAGGAAAGGAGAAAAAAAATTAAAAAGGTTGTTTTACAGTTTTTGTAATGCTTATACCTAAAGACAATGTTTTGTTGACTAATCAGATTGGAAGGGAGGAAATAAATAAAAATAAAAATTGTGATTTTGAAGTGAGTAAAGAGGTAAAAGAGGAGAGGGAAAACAAATTAAGATTAAAAAGATAAAATAAATTTGTTAATAATTATTAGTTGTAAAAATTAGTTTATATAATTATTAGTTGTTTTAAATTAATGTTTTACAAACTTAAAAATAACAAGTAAACTTAAAGCTACAAGATATTAAGATTACAAACTAGAAGAAAATATTATAAGGTTACAAACTTTCCGGAAACGTTTATATTACACTTTCCGGAAAATATAAAAATTATAAAAATTCCGGAAAGAAATAGATAAATTTACAAAGATTTCGGAAACAATTAATATTTCAAGTTTTCCGGAATATGTTTGTAAATTTGCAAACATTCCGGGACAGAATAAGATTACAAACTTAACGGAAAAAGACAATTAATAAATATTTACAAACTTTCCGGAACATATAAAATTACAGAATCAGGAAATATAGATAAGATTACAACCCTTCCGGAAATATTTTAAATTACAAACAACCAGAATTTATATACCCCTCTTTTCAGAAAAAATAAATTTACAAACTTTCCAGAAAAATTATTTCAACCTTTCCGAAAACAAATATTTAAAATCACAAACTTGAAATATTAAAACCTCTCCGGAAAAATATTAATTTTTAAGTTTTCCGGAAATATTAAATTATCAGAAAAATCAAACTCACATCTTCATCAATTAGCGTATCAATGATTTGTCTAAGTAATTGATCATCAGCCATAGAATCCTCCTGTTGTTGTTCTACAGTATTTAATGTTTGTTGTTGTTTGTCTTGTTCTGGAGATTGTCCAGCCCCAAATAATTCGTCCATTGAAAGACTTTCGAGTGAACGAGATAATTGTTGTTCAAAATGGCCAAGTTGGGGGTTCTGCAAAAATTATTAAAAAACAATTATTATTATATATTTACTAAAAAAATTTCTTTTTATAAAAGTTTTTGTTCACGCCTTCTCTTGCAAAAAAACAAAATAACACAAAAACATTAAAAAACGACAATAGACCAACGAAAATGACGTTTTGGCAAAAATAAGATTTCTAAAGATTTGTATTGTATGAAGGGTGTTTTACAATCTTAAACACTTTTTCGGAACTTTTTTTGGAACCTTTTTAGTTGTTTTTATCAGACCTGTCCATGGATACGGATATGGATACAGATAATATCAAAATGCCTGCGGATATCCGCCTGTATCCACCGTAGATATTCGGATACCAAAGTCAGTATCCGTGACCAGGTCTGGTTTTTAGTGTTTTGGTGTTTTTATGTGATACTTTAAGGGTTTAAAGATTGCAACATTTTTTAAAAAAATGTCTTTATGTCTTTGTTTTTGAATTATGATATTCTCAAGTCTTTTATGTTTGCAAATTAACCCTTAATAATTTTTCAAACATGTTTTATTAATATTACAAACTAGAAGAAAATATTATAAAATTACAAACTTTCCGGAAATAAATAAGTTTACAAAGATTCCGGAAACAATTAATATTTCAAGTTTTCCGGAAATAAGTTTACAAACTTAACGGAAACTTTAATCTAACTAGCCCTTCCGGAAACTTTAATATAACCAACTTTTCCGGAAATTTTTTTTCAAACCTTCCGGAATCCGGATTTAAGATTACAAACTTAACGGAACTAGGTATATAACCAACTTTCCGAATGATACTACAAGATTATTAAACACTTCCCGAAATAAATAAGACTACAAACTTAACGGAACTATTTTTAGTTGTTTTTAAGAAATTATTGTTCTAATTATTTTCAAGTTTGTAAAATACCAACTATTTTTGTTTAATTAAATTTTACAATTATATTTTTACAATTTATTTTCTAAAAACCCACTCTAGAAATAGACGCCGTTGCTACAGTTGAAGTTTGTTCTGTAGAGGAAGAATCTCTAGAAGTTGTTGTTTGTCCTTCTGAAACAGAATAAACAGAAGAACGTCGTCTATGGAATGATTGAAAGTTTGAGACAAACTGAGAATTTGACGGGAATTGAAGAGATATTTGGTCAGAAGGAGGTTGGGGAGGGGTTAAGGGGGAAAGCGGTGATGGCTGTTGGGGAAATAAGGGGAGACTTTAATTAAATTTTAAAAAATAAAAAATTACCGGTGTCCCTGACAATTTTGCAATTTTTTGAGGCTTAATTGAAAAAATAAAAGGTTTTAGACTAGTTACGACAACTGGGGAAATTTTTTGTTGATTTTCTTGTTGAGTAATAATATTAGTAAATTCTCCAATAAGCATCAATAAATATCACAAAAAATATTTTTTTTTTGAGTTTCAAGTGATGACAAAAAATTTAAAATGAGAAGAAAGTGTGTTGTTTTAAGATGACGAAAAAAAAAATTAAAATAAAAAAATAAAAATATTTTTTTGGGCGAGTGATTGCCTGAAAATTAGAGAAAAAAAAAGAAAATAACTAAAAAGTTGGTTGGAGTCGTTTTTTTGGCGCCAGAATCGTTTGGCGCGATTGGATGAATAACTCAATAATTGACGTCATTATAACCTTGCGCCAAAATGGCACTGCGCCGAAATATTAAATTCCCCTAATAAGTTAGTACAGTAAGAATTTTAAGCTGGAAGGGTTATTGGGCGAAAGTTTTTGGGAAATGATGAAAAAATAAATAAATTAGAGAGAAAAGGGGATTGGGTGATCGCGGAAATAAAGAAGAAAATTTTGGGTAGAAAAGGCAGCTGTCACGAAAGTAAATTTGGAAAAAGGCTGGTAAAATAGGCAAATATAAACCTAAAAATATGAAATTTTGCACAAATATAGTTAACACTCTTATCTAATAATCCTCAAAATTTTAAAATTTTTAGTCAAATATTTTACAAGTTATGGTCAAAAATTGAGTCAAAATTGGTCTAATTTTAGCTAAAATAGGTAGAAATAATTTTACTTGGTTGATCACAACTTTTTTTAAAAGTGTCCAAAAATTCTAAAATTTTTAGGGAATAAAGCCAACACTATGACAAATATTTATGCAAACTTATACAGGTCCACGTCTAAAATTAAATTTATAAAAAAATTCCTAGACAATGTCAACTCGAATCTTATGGGACTAAATTTTTGGCGCGGCGTCTTAAGGGCGCGGCCAAGGATAAAGGCTCGACTTTAGCTTAGTTTCTAGTTAATTAAAAATTAAAAAGTTGAAAAATATTTTTAAAAAATTAAATTTTTGGTTTTCCACAACTTATTTCAAGCTTGTAAAGTAATTATAAAAAAATAAAAAATGTATGATTTGGTTAAGTACACAAAAATTCTATTTAAAATGAGGTGGCAGAAACGAACGTTTTATATATATTTTTTTGCCCACGTAATGAGTGGACCTATTATATAATGGAAATAAATGAGTAAAAATGCTTAAAAATAGGAGAGAAAAAATATAAGAACAATATAAAAATAAAATAAAAATTTATAAAAATAAATTTATATAAATAAATACATGCTTTCTGACGTATTATTAACAGCTGAAAAATTTTAAAAAAATGAAAAAGGGGAAAATAGGTCTTTGAACTATTTAAATAAATTATTTTTTGATATTTTAGACCTTTAATTAATTAAAAAAATTTTTTTTAATTTTTTGGTTTCTTTAAAAAATTATAAGAATAGAAAAAATACATGAAGCTGCAAAGAAAGGAATGTATAAAAATGGATGATTTTTTATTTAATAAAATTTTTAATTGTTTTTTTAAAATTTTTTAAAATAATTTTTTTAATATTCCAAATTATCGATAAAATTAAAAAAAATTTTTTTATCTGAAATTTTTTTTTAAATTATAAAAAATTTTTTTCAATTAAAAGCCTCCCACTTAAAATTAAACAACTTTTAAAAAGTCCATAAAATTATTTAGCATTAAAATTTATTTTAAAATATTTAAAATTTATTAAGATTTAAAAAGTCTTTTAATACGATTAGTAATTTTTTAGTTCCTTAAATAGAAAGTCTAGACTTTTTTGTATGAAGGGAAAGAATTCATTTACATAGAAGCACAAAGTTGCGCAAGAATAACTAATAAAATATTGCAGGCAAATTATATAAATAATGTAAAACTCTAAAATAATTAAGATTACAAACTTAAATAGAAATGTAAAAAATTCCGGATAAATTTTCCGGAAAGATATGAACTTAGTTTAAATATAATAAAATTACGAACTTTCCGGAAAAGTATATAGAATATTCCTGATAGTTTCCGGAAAGAAAATACAAACTTAACAGACAATAATAAAATAATTTAAAACTTTCCGGAAACTTAAGTAGTATATAAAAATTCGGGATAAGTTTCCGGAAATGAAATACAAACTTAACAGAAAATAAGTTTCCGGAAAGTTTGTAATAATTTTATTATTTTCCGTTAAGTTTGTATTTTATTTCCGGAAACTTATCCGGAATTTTTATATACTTAAGCTTCCGGAAAGTATATAGAAATTCCTGAAAAGTTTCCTGAAGGAAAATACAAGTCTACGAAAAAAAATAAAATTACAAACTTTCCGGAAAAATACAAGAGTTCAAAAAACATTCCGGAAAGCAAAATACAAACTTAAAAAAGACAATTAAAATAAAAAAAAGAGACAACAAAAGAGACAACATAATATATGCTTTAACCCCAACAAAAAAGCAACAAATAACCCTCAAGAAATAATTACTATCTTTAAAAATAAATAAATAATTACAAAAATTTTATAATCTTTAATTTTATCTCGAAATATTTAAAATAATTTTTACTTATTTTTGCAAATATTTAATTTTTTAATTTATGTTTAAAACACAATATATTTTTAAAAACAACGTAAAAATAATTTTGTTTTGCTATAAAATTTTTAAAAACAAAAGATAAACACGCAAATATATTGAAATTAAAAATGGTTGTTTTCATTAAAAGAAAATTTTTGTATTTTTTAAAGAGTGTTTTGTGTTTTAACAATAAGCAAAAATGACGAAAATGTTCATAAGATTGGTTTTTGATTTTATAAAGTTTTAATTATAATTAGAAAAAATAATAATAGTTATTATTTTTAAAAATTAGTTTTTGAAAATTACTATTTAAATAAATAAAGAAAATAGAAATTATTAGGATAGGGTTTAAAAAATAATTTTTAAAGTTAATTTAATTAGTCTTATGCAGGGAAAAATAAGTTGAGATGACTTAATAATATTTTTACTAGTTTTCCGGAAAGTTTATAAGTTTAAGCAAGTTTGCAAGTTTTCCGGTAGAATTGTAATAAATATTAATATTTTTAAAGTTTGTATTTTTCCGGAAAACTTTTCCTGAAACACTTAAATAAATATTAGACTGTTTCTATTAGTTTTCCGGAAAGTTTAAAAGTTTTCCGGAAAGTTGAAAGTTTTCCGGAAAGTTTAAAAGTTTTCCGGAAAGTTGAAAGTTTTCCGGAAAGTTTAAAAGTTTTCCGGAACGTTTAAACATATTAATATTATTAAGTTTGTATTTTCTTTCCGGAAAGATTTCCGGAACAATTACATAAATATTAAACAAACAATGTTTTTATTAGTTTTCCGGAAAGTTTATAATAAGTATTAATATACCGTATTTCCTATATTAGAGCCCCACCCTCTGTTAGAGCCCCACCCTCTAATACAGCCCCACTTTGGAGGATAGTTGAAAAATAGAGCCCCACCCTCAATTAGAGCCCCACCCCAAATATAGCCCCACTAAAAATAGTGGAGGAAAAAATATCCCCAATAACTTTTTAGCTGTATTTCGAGAGTTAAGGAAGTAAAGGGGGATATTGGTGATATTGTGATCATGGAGGAGGAGGGATCATGGGGATATAGGGATGAAAAGGAGGAAATAACCCCGATATCCGTCCAAATACTCTTATATCACCTATATTTCTCCAAATCACTCCAGAAAATTGACGATAATTCGCGAGATTATTAGAGATCTATTAGGGATCTCGCTTATAATTAGTGAAGGAGAAGTTCCACAATTTCTCTGGAACCGGTTCCAGTTCTGGAAATGCTTTTGAATTACTTCAGTTCCAGTTCTGGAACCTGTTCCAAGGCCTCATCAAACAAAATCGCTTCATATGCCTCCTAATCCAGAATATCCCTTTTACAAATTAATAAAATTTAATCCTAAATTAATAAATTTAATCCTAATATGTTCCCCATAATCCCTTAAAATCAACTTTTATACCTCTGATCCATCGATGTCAAATACTAGTCCCCTAATATTTCCTTTAATCCGTCAAAATCTACCAGAATTTCATACTTAGTAATCTTACTCTCGAACTATTGCGACTATTTTGTTATTCATTGCTTATAAAGTTTTAATTTTTGTGGAAAATCGAAAATTTCGATTCTCTTTCGATATTTTTCGGTTTTAACGACCACCTCTCCAGCCTATCTCTAGTTGCAATGGATATTTAATAAATGGGATTTTATCACGAAAGAGTGTTGAAAAATAGAGCCCCACCCTCAATTAGAGCCCCACCCTTTAATACAGCCCCACCTTGGAGGATAGTTGAAAAATAGAGCCCCATGGGGCTCTAATATAGGAAATACGGTAATTTAAAATTTTCCGGAACGTTTAAATAACTATTAAGATTGCAACCGTCAAGTTTGTAATCTTAATAATTTCCCTAAAAATTAAATTTAAAAAATAATAAGTACAATTAAATTAAAATTAATTAAAAAAATTTTAAAATAAATTTTTCCTTTCTTTGGTCTACGGCAAAAAAAATTTTTTTTTCGTTCTCATGTGAATAATGCCTGACAGTGAAAGGGGAATAAATGAGCTATTTCTGCCCTCTAGCTTTTTTACTTTAAAAATTCAGCCTTCGTGTGTTCTGGCTTTTAAAATCCCGCCTGTTCTTTCTTTTATTCTTTCTCTTATATTTTTTGTTAGCGACCCGCTTTTTGCTTTAAAGCTTGTACAAGCTTTCCCTATTAATATATATATTTTTGCAGTTTCACGTCAGCCACCCACATTGGCATGCATGTCAACGACCCGAATGACGAGTGTTAGGTAAAAAATAAAACAAAAGAAAAAAGGGGGGAAAGAGGGTGGCTGGTGTAAACATAAAAGGAAAGAGGTAAAAAAATTTTGAATTGAAAATGATGTGTGAAATATATAAATAAAATGATTAAAAAACAAACAAATGAAGGAACAAACAAAAACACAAAAATTGGAAGAAAAACATCAGAATTGAGGTAAAGAAATGAACTGAAAAATTAATTAATTTTGAAAAAAAATATTTTCCTTTTTAGGAAAATAATTTCTATATAAGGAATTAATAATTTAAATGAGGGAATTAAAAGTAGGAAAAAAATATTTTTTTTTAATTATGCACATAAACAAATTAAAGTTCATTAAATAAAGTACAATGTTTTTAAAGTTAAATGTTGCATACTGAAAATAATAAACTTGTGTAGTCTTAAATTAAGTTTGCAAACTTATTTTTTGTTTTGTCAAGTTTGTAATTCAGTGTATTTTTCCGGAAAGTTGGAAAATGAAAATAACTTGTTTTTAACTTGTTAAACTTGTTTTTCCGGAAAGTATAAAAATTAAGTTTGTAAACTTGTTTTTCATCAAGTTTGTAATTACTTGTATTTTTCCGGAAAGTTTGAAGAGAGTGAATGTTGATGTTAATAATCTTGTTTTTCCGGAAAGTATGTAATTCTTTTCTTTTCCGGAAAAACCGGAAAGCTTGTAAAGTCTCAAGTTTGTAAATAATCGTCTATTTATTTTCGTCTTAACTATTTTCCGGAAAGTTTAAATTACTTCTAGTTTGTAATTTATTAACTTTGTATTTCCGGAAAGTTTGTCTTAAGACTACAAACACTGCAAACTACATAAATTAAATTTTTATATTTAAAGTTAATTATAAAAAGTTTTTCATCTGCTATACTAAATTTAAATATTTTTGTAGTTTCTCACTTTACTCTTTATTCTTTTCCATTCCCGCATGTTTACTTCTTTTCTACTATAAAATGTTCTTGCAGTGCCCCTAGCCGTTCCAGAATTATTTATGCGTTGTGTGAAGGCACACGTCAGTTTTGACGTCACTGGCTCGCTTACGAGCGGCTATGGCATGACAAGAGAAATAAGTGCCAAGAAAGAAAATTGAAAGAAAAAGGAAGCCAGTTGTGGCCAATGCTGACGCAGAATTTTGCGTGCCTCTAAACAGGAAATGGGAGAAAAGGCATAAAAAAAGTGATGTGGGTTGGAGGTCAGAAACCCGCCAGCCAGCTGCTTGTTAATGTCGCCCCCGCAAGTCAAATGAACTGATAAAAATAAAAATTATATGAAAAACAAGGTTAAAATAAATTAAAAATTAAAAAAATAATAAGATAAAAATATAAAAAAAATTAAAAGAAGGAGAAGATTATTTTCAAGTTTCTTCTAAAAAAATAAAAAAGCGGCAAAATTTTAATTATAAAGAGGATTAAGAAAATTAAAAAGGAAAATAAACGTTCTCAAACGTTTTCTAGCCTAGGTCAAAAAACATAGCCTATAGCAGTTGAACAAACGATGTTGGTGGCATATTCCCTACGGCTTATTAAAATTAATAAATATTAAGTATGCTTAAGTATCTAAGAAAATATATTTCCGGAAATAGAATATTTATATTTAAGGTATACTTCTGGAACTTTATTATAATCTTTTCCGGAAGGTGTATAAAATGCTAATTTGTAAGCTCTTCCGGAAGGTTTGCAAACTTGAAAAATTTGCAATTTCATACAAAAAGGCTGCATACTTTTCCGGAAAACTTTAATTTTTTCCGGAAAGTCTACAAGCTTTAATTTGTAATCTTTTCCGGAAAGTTTACAAATTTTCCGGAAAATTTGTAATCTTTTCTAGATCGAGCTTAAAAACTTTAATTATTAAAGTTATCCGGAAAGTTTGCAAACTTAAATTTATAATCTTTTCCGGAAAGTTGTAATTAATATTATCTCTCCGGAAGAAACAAAAACTTACAAACCTTCTGGAAAGCTTGCAAACTTTATTTTACAATCTTTCCTTTGCAAACTTTACTTTAGCATCTAATAATAATAGACACTTATATTATATTATACTTAAGTTAGTCGCAATGAACATCTCAAACATTAAAACAATTTTTAATTAACATCATTTTCATTTTTTGTCTATTTTCTGATGTTTGTGGTATTATTCTCTTTGTTTGTTATTAAAAAACAAAAATAATAATAACATAGTAGTTTGGTCTAAATATTGTAATTACACAGATTTTAAAAAATATTGTGGCAATTGAGGGAAAACAGCCTTTTTTAGTTTTCCGTTTCCTTTAACATCTTTTTTGGAATAAATATTAAGTGAAGCTTTTTACCACCATGGTTGCAAAAATAAAAACACGTTTGCAATTTTTGTGTATTGTTATTTTGTGTTTTGGTCAAAATTTTTATTTTCGACTTGTATAAATTGTAAAATGATTTGAAGTTAATAAATTGTGTTTTTGTAAGCTTGTAAAACTTTATTTATTTCTTTCCGGAAGGTTTGTAAATTAAATTATTTTCCGGAAGGTTTGTAGATTTTGTCTTGTATTTCTCTTCCGGAAAGTGTATAAATTCTGATATTTTCCGGAAGGATTGTAAATTCTGATATTTTCCGGAATGTGTATATATGTATTTTATTATTTTCCGGAAGGTTTGTAAATGTATTTTGTATTTTCTTTCCGGAAAGTATATAAATTATGTTATTTTTCGGAGGGTTGTAAATTCTCATATTTTCCGGAATGTTTGTAATTCTGATATTTTCCGGAAGAGTTGTAAATTCTGTTTTGTATCTTTTCCGGAAAATTCTGCTTTGTATTCTCCTTCCGGAAAAAATTATTTTACAATTCTTGAATTATTTAAATTCTGAATTCTAATTATTTTCCGGAAAGCTTATTAATTCTGGTACAATTTGTAAAATGCTAACAGAAAATTTACGTTTGAACTTTTAACCTAATTTTAAGTTTGTAGTATGTTTCATAAACTTAAAAACCTCATACCTATGTAGAAAAACGGAAGTGCAATATAAAAATGGAAATGGTGGGAAAGTTGTATATTTTAGTCATTTTTGAGAAAAAAAGTTTATTTTGTAAAAATTGCTAGATTTTTTTGAGAAATTTTTGCAAGTCTGGACACTTAATTTCAGAAAAAAAATTTTTTTTAATAATTTAAAAAATATTTATATTTTTTTATAAAATTTTCTGAAGAGATAAATAATTATAATAATTTAAAAATTCTTAAATATTCAAAAAAAATATTATTGAACTCCATTAAATAAAATTAATTTTGAGTCATTCTTCGGGCAAAAGGCAAAAAATATTTTATTAAAAAATAATTTAATTCAAAAATGAATTACATAAAATATAAAAAAATTTATTTAAAAAGGACAGATTATTATGAACTGGATTAAAAAAAGGCGGGGTTTAAAACCAAAAACTATTTCTGTGCTTAAAAAGCGTTCATGAAGGGATTTAATAAAAGAAAAAATTTGCAAGATTAAAGCAAAGAATATTTTTTAAAAATTATTAATATTAAAAAAAGTGCCTAAAAAGATGAGGGTATTTAAAAAATAATTAATAAAAAAAATTTTTTTAAGTTAAAAAATTTTTAGTTAAAGATAAAAGTCTAAATATGGTAGGCAAAAAGTCAGAGGGTCACGTGATTAAGTATTATAGTATTTTAAATACTAAGTCTAAGGATTAATAAATTTAGAAAAAAAGATTTTTTCACTTAATCTAGAGTACTTTATAAGATAAAATTATATCATCTATTAAAGTCTTCAAAGTTATATTCAAGAATTTAAGTTTGTAAATCAGAGTTTATTTCATTTCCGGAACATTGGAGAATAATTCTGGTTTGTATTTTTCCGGAAAACTTTTAATTCGTAATTTTTCCGGAAAAATAAAACCAGAATATACAGTAAGAGCGAGGCAAAAGTTTAACACCGTGTAGGCTTCGATCATGCGACCTCCTGGCAGTTATTGCTAATCACGTACAGATGCTCTACCGACGCTATCGGGACGCTACCGGAGCTTCTCTTCCTTATATACAAACTTTCCGGAATCATTACAAAATCTGATTTACAATCTTACAAACTACGTTTGGAATTTATTATTTTCGAAATTTTTTTTTTCGGGAGAAAAAGTTTCCTATCAATCTTTCTAATTTTGTAAGTTTGTATTTTCTTTGATTCCACTCTTTTACAAATTCCCTCTCCCCTACAAATTTAAAAATAATTCATTAATTAATTAGCTCATTTTCAATTTTGTTACTTTTATTTTTAGTTGCGTTAAAGATAATCTCCTTTAGCTCTATTAACAAACAAAACACACATTGAAACTAATAATTAAATATTTTGTTTAATGGAATTTTTTTAAGAGAAGCGTCACTAAAAAATGTTTTTATTATTTAATGGACTAATTAAATTTTGAAAAAATTTTTTTTTAAATTTTTTAATTTTAAAATTATTTTAAAAATATGTGTCCCATAATCAGTGATATGTATCAAAGTTCTAGTTCCGGAAAGTTCCGGATGGTTCCAGTTCCAGAACTAAAACAACGGAACTAATGATTATCAGAAACTAGTTTGGAACTAGAACTACGGAACTAGTAAATGTCTGGAACTAGCTTGGAACTAGTTCCAGAACCGGAACTGGAACTAAGGACGGGAACTTGGAACTAGTTCCGGAACTGGAACTAAGGACTGGAACTTGGAACTAGTTCCGGAACTGGAACTAAGGACTGGAACTTGGAACTAGTTCCGGAACTGGAACTAAGGACTGGAACTTGGAACTAGTTCCGGAACTGGAACTAAGGACTGGAACTTGGAACTAGTTCCGGAACTGGAACTAAGGACTGGAACTTGGAACTAGTTCCGGAACTGGAACTAAGGACTGGAACTTGGAACTAGTTCCGGAACTGGAACTAAGGACTGGAACTTGGAACTAGTTCCGGAACTGGAACTAAGGACTGGAACTTGGAACTAGAGTTGTACCCCGACCCCGTACCCCGAACCCCGACCCCGTTCCCGAACGATTTTTTCACGATTCTCCCCGACCCGAACCCCGCCCCGAAAAAAAGTGAAAACCCCGTTCCCCGGCCAAAAAAATTTCGGGGTTATCGGGGTTTTATACCCCTAAAAAATGTCATTTTTTGGAGAAATTAATAGAGAAAATTTAAAAAATTT